TGACATCCATTGGATATGTGAGAGGCGCTTCAATTTTATTACAGAAATCACCATATTCTATAAATACAACAATTCGTCATCTTCATTTACATTCAGCAACATATGAAATTATCTCTAAATTTCTTCAATATCTTCCTTATATTATTTCATTAACCATCGATTATTTATATACAAATAGTTCATCGTCTATAATACCGATCACAAATTCTTACATTCGCCATCTGACTTTGACAGATAGTTTATCATCTCAATCACATTTCGAGGAGCTTCTCGTATTCCTTTGTAACTCCAATTTAACAGAAGTTCGCGTGACATTTGATACTTGTGACTTTGACAAGCTAGCTCATATTCTTACAAAACTTTCATATATGGAAAAATTCAATTTGAAAGTGAAGACATATCCATCAGATCTCGATTTAACCATAATTCGTCTGATGAGTCCTTGGTTTATAACGCTAAATTATGCGTATATCATCGAACAATATGAGCTGAAACGGATTCTTCTCATTAAAACTACTAGACAACAATTAGACTATCAAGCAATACTAATTAAACCATTGAACATGTAATCAACTACCGAAAAAAAATGAGAAAACATTCTTTTTTTCATAATTAATATACATCAAGAAGAGTTCTGATATTGAACTTTTTTCTTCACTATACCTGAATACTTCTATGTACTCTTGTTGTACAAAGGGTGTGCGGTGTGAGTATGGATGTGGAGTGTTAATGTGAATGGCTAGGATCATACTTTCACCATCACCCACCACACACCCACACCCTAGACATGCCTCTATCGTACATTTTATGTTCACATGAAATAAATTCACATGGTACGTATATTGTGTTCTGTTCTTTTTTTTTTCTCTTTTCATCATTATTCGCTACGCTTATAGGAGTATGTCTAAACTGAAGGGTAGAAAAATGTGACGATAATGATATCATCTTTTTCCTCTTTCTTCTTAACTTTTTTTATTTTTCTTTATGGATAAGTCCTGTACTCATACATATATATATATTCTGTATTCTATGTGAAATATTTACATTCTAAAGATATGTTTTTGTCTGATTCAAACTCGCGTCACAAATACGTGCAATTGAACTTTCAATATCCTTCATTCAATGAACGATTAAACTTCTCGATCTTGCTTTTTTACCATCGACACAAACAGTAATTATTGCTGATTTCGGTTTATCACATGGTTTAAATTTAATGAATGCTATGAAAGTAATTATTGAAAATTTAAAAATAAACAGCGATCAGTTCTTGTCATTCATAACTATTTACCAACGAATAATTGGACAATATTTTGCGCTCTACTCAATAAAGCCAATAGTTATTTTGGTTTAGCAAATTGCCAATCATTTTATGAACAATATCTTCCATCAAATTCTCTATCTATCGGCTACTCTTCTGCGTCACTGCAATGGATGTCACATAATCCATGTAATATATCGAATCATTGTCTCATTATTTTGTTCAAATGATGAACATGATATACTTAAACAACAAGATTATCTTGATTATTCAAGATTTTTGGAATATCGTTCAAATGAATTTATTTCTGGTCATGTATTTATTCTTTATTTTCCTTGTTTGGTTTTGAAATTCTTGTTCAAGTTTTATAGAAATGTGTGATTTTATTACCGATTATACTTATCCATTGTATTACCGTACGTATGAAAAATACATTAATTATGATTTATTTAATAAATTTTCATCGAAATTAATGAAGGCTGCATTTTGTAATACTAGAACAGATACATTTACTCAGTTTCAACAATGAGAATTAACATTGGATGAATTTGGAAAAGACTACATTCGATTTTCATGTAGTTGGGCTGAACCATCATTATGAGAAACATTACAAGATAAATTTTGGAATTTATACGAACAAGAAGTAAAAGAACTTTCAAATCAATTCGATTTGTGTTGCTTTTATGCCTGTTTAATATTAAAAAAAGATTTGATATAATTACTCATTCTTTAATTTCAAGAAAAAAAAACTTAGGTAGTATAGTCAAATATTACAGAATTTTATTTTTCTTGTACATTGTGACACCTATATCTCTTCAACGACTTTTTTCTTATGAAAGTTGAGCATTTTACTACGACTTGAGGTGACATTTAAATAACCATCTTACGTACACTACAAGCTATAATAATATCACGCTGTGTACTAACAACTATCATTGCATAGAATAAAAAAAAATACTAATAACACTGTTTGTTACGAAATTTCAGCTTTTTCACGTTTCAAAGTCGAAGGTTTGAGAATCTGAACTCTTTTTAACTATCGTGATAACAGTATATCTTTTCGCTAAATTATGAGTAGTTCGATCATTCAAGTATAATCAAGTGATCATCTTTAAGATAAAAAAGAAATACAATTTAACAAGATTTAAAATCATACAAATTTATTTTATATATAAATGATGAAAGAAAAATAGGTACTATATCACTCATAATTTGCAAAGTGTTCGTTAATTCGTCGATTGAAGAGACAATTTTCTTTCATTTTTGTAATTTCAAACACTCGAATGCAAAGGTGACGTTGGCTGGCCATGCCTATTACTAAGCAAGGGTAAACTTCTTTAAGGCTTGTATTTATTTGAGCAATAAAAAATATAGAATGAGCAATAATAAAAACATGATTTAGCAATAATTTTTGAGCAATAAAAAATGTTTATTTGAGCAATATTATAATATAAAATGAGCAATATTATGATATTAAATGAGCAATATTTTGACATTAAATGAGCAATAAATAATTTATTATATAACAATATTAATTTCATATTTGAGCAACAAAAAAAGATAGAAGTGAATTATTTTTATTTATAATTTACAAGAAACAAAAAAGAAAAATGGGTGTGGGTGTGGGTGTGGGAGGGTCTGGGTGTGGGGTAGACATCGGCGTGATCAACATTTTTTGGTCACGTCACGGTCACGATCAGTTTGGTCACGGTTACGGTCACGGTCACGACCGTTGCCATCGTGACCGTGACCGTGAGTCACGGTAGCCATGCCAGTCTCTATACGAACGACTATTTTCTTTTTTCTCAAAACAGCATACCCTTCTCTTCCGATAGGAGGTCCCTATATTAGAAGGCTTTCCATAATAGAAGACCCCCTTGGAGAAATACGTGCGAGACTTAGTATAAGACTTTATTCAATTATCAAATTTTTCGAAAAATGACAACTTCAACCACTGGATTTACATCATAATATGCTTAGTTTTCAGAGTTTTCAGCTACAAAATTTAACTAAGTGTTTTCAACCTTTTATCTAGGCTTTTAAAATCCGAAAAATTCCTTCTCAAAGCATCAAAATCGCTTTGGCTTTCTGAACAATTTTTTTAGTTGCAATCTGTAGAAAGAAAAGAGACATTACGCAAGACCCTCTGGAAAACTTTTGGGATTAGACACAATAGAAAACCTCGGATCTTGGGTGTGGGTGGGTGTGGGTGTAGGTGTGGGTTCATTGTAGTTTAACACCCACACCCACACCCAAGAATCAGAAAATAGTGTGCTATGAGTTGTGCTTGAGTGATGTATAAAAGTTATATATAAATTTCATGAGGATAAGAAAACGTTTATTGTTGTAAAAAAACGAGTTATTATTGCCCTTTTATATACATTTTACGCTTCATTTTAATTAATTATTGCTCATTTCATGGAATTATTGCTCATTCCATCTAATTATTGCTCATTCAATATATATATTGCTTATTCAATATATATATTGCACATTCTATATATATATTGCTCATTCTATATATTTATCGCTAAATTTGATTATTGCTCATTCTGTATTTTTTATTGCTCAATTAAATATAAGTCCTTCTTTAATGCATGATCACTCAAATTTTCTTCTACGACTATATACTATCAATAATGAAAGAATGAAGAAACATGAAAACACAGGCGCATATAGTTCGTTTGTCTATAGGAAAATTTCTTTTTCTAAAGATACTTTTCTATTTTAGTTCGTAATTCTCTATTTCTACATTTCGATATTTTGAGTTTTATTAAAAGTTCACTCATATGATCGCAAAAGAATAATAATTATACATATATGAGTTTTCTTTTTGTATTCTTTGCTTTACAATTCAATGTCAGCGCGTTTTATTCATGTATTTAAAAGTTTTCTAATTAGAATAATGTGTTCACCAATAATTGAATGACATATATTTCACTTATCATACCTATAATCATATGAATATTTTGATTATTGAAAAAGGTAACTTTTATAAAAATCTTACAAGTTTAAATCGTTCAAAAGTATTTATTCCCTTCTTATTGAAAATTCTTAATAACTTATATCAAATATTTGACGTTAAAAGAGTGAACCAATAAGTTCGGTACATTCCGAACTATAGCAGACGAATAATCGATGATTCATTCAATATATATTCTATTTATGTAGGAAAGAAAAACAAAATCATCATATATATTCGAATTCTTTTTTTCTATATCATTTAACATGGATCACATGAAATGACAAACAAATTTTAACCAATTATCCGAAGAAAATACAAAGGAATTACGAAGTAGAATTTTTTACTAGTAAGATATAATTTTTGTTTGTTTCTATTATAATATAGATGAGGTGTTGGATAAATTAATAATTTCTTCTATTGAAAATTTATCGAATGAATTATTCAATGAAATATTCGATTATCTTGATGGTGTTGACATTTATCAAGCATTTTCAAATCTTAATTATCATTTTCAACAACTTCTTACATCTTCATATATTCTATATAAAATTGATCTTAATCAAATAACATCGAAAGAAATATTTATGGTTAATTATAAACAAAATTTATTTTCAATTACCAGTCGATATTAATCAATTATTAATATCGTTTACTATCAATTCTTCATTTAATCATCTTCAATCACTTGTTATTGAAGATATTCATCCAGATAACCTTATTTCATTTCTTATTAATTTAAATTCTTTACCAAAACTTTTCTCATTAAATATCAGAACAATGCATACCATTGAAGATCTAAATAATATTTATCAATTTATTTTTGCATTACCTAAATTAAAATATAACAAACTCTATTTATATCGCAATAAACGTTCAATTTCAATGCCAATGGCCACTGGAAAACAATTTAGTAGTATTGAATATCTGGATATTGCTCATTGGTATACTTTCGACGAACTTTCTGCTTTAATTTCTCATACACCACAACTTCGTCATTTGCATCTTACACATGTAAATCAGGATGATTCAATTATTGAAACTATGTTACCAATTAATTTAGATAATCTGACACATATTTCGATGTATACAAACAATATTAATTTTGATGAATTTGAAATATTTATTGAAAATATATATTCGAATTTAAAAACTTTATATGTTATTCTTTTACATCAAGATATAACTTTTCTTCATGCTTATAAATGGGAACAATTAATTTTACGATATTTATCTCAATTAAAAGAATTTTCTTTAAAATATTATGAACATAAATATTTAATATATTCTGAAGAACGAAATCAATTCATATCATCATTTTGGATTGAACGAAAATTAATATTTAATGTTGAAATTAATGAATATAATATTCTTTATTTAGTTTGTCCATACAGGTACATTCCAGATGATTCATTTATATTTATATAGATTGTTTGTTTTTGTTTTCAGAAAAAGATGGTATGAATATAAAAATTCTACTGCTGAATATTTAAAATCTACTCAATTGACTATCAAATACGTTTTTTCTGGTGAACCTGCTAACGGTTTATTTAACTATATTAAACGTATTTTAAATATAGTACAAATTTATCATTTGTATATTCAACAAGAAATTTATATTCATAGATTAATGCAAATTATACAATTATTACCAGATCTTATTACATTAAAAATTAATTCTTTAATTTTAACATTTTATCGATCATTAATAGATGAAAAATTTCCTACCACATGTTCAATAGAACATGCAAGTAAAATTAAAAAAGTTTATTTAGAAAACACGCAAACAATTCAAGAAATTTATTTTCTTCTTTATGTCGAATGTATTAATGGTATGACTATTGAATTATTTCTACGAAATATTTTAAACAAAATTAATCAAGATCATCATAAAGAACTTCGTTTATTATGTATTTATGTTTCAAAAGCAGATGATAATATGATTAAAACTTTAAAAAAAATGATTGATAAAGAAAAACTTTTGTTAAATTACACAATTCACCATGAACTTGATAATATCTATTTACAATGGATATGATATTTATTTCGTTGAAATTTGCTTTTTTTTATATAATATCTTCTCGTTTTTATTGTTTATAATATGAACAAAATACTTAGGAAAAGATTTTAGTGCTGAACCAAATAAACTATTTCATATATACGAAAAAAAAAGATTAACAGATAATAATTTAGTGGATATTTTCTGTATAGAAGAGGTCGTCCGCAAAGGACGTTCAGACAAAAATCGCGTTTTTGGACGCCTCCCTTTCTAATGTTCAGAAATATCCACTTTTGCTGAAAAAAACTGCTTTTTCAACCAAAAAACTGAGATATTTGACGTATTTGTAGTTTATATCATAGGACTCTGATAGATCGCTCTTTTGAAAAAACTTCTCAACACTTCGAAAAGTTATTTGGATCCAAAATTGCAATTCTGGTTCGGTTTCCAAAAAATATGGTGTGAATTCGAACCATTACATTCATTAAAGACATACGGAAGTTTTTACATCTTTGTTCAATGATTTTGACCTTTCATTTTTGAAATTCAAGTCACCATACATGTTTTTATTCACATAAGATACTATTATATAAATCTACTGAAATCTTTAAAACACAGATTGGAAAGAATTGACATTTTTGAACGTAGATTCGAAATTTTTTTGCATCTGTTTGTTGATTTAAAGGTTTCGGTTCCATGAAAATTCAAAAAGCCTGTTCCTTATTGGTTACGTCTATAGTTCTTTTAAGCCGCCGAACTATACTAAAAAAACTTTTTTTCTTGAAAATTTTACGAAAAATGCTCAAAAAATGACAGGAAGATTTTAGCCAATTAGTGGAAAACGACTGCTTTTGGAAATGATGGAAATTCTATTATCTAATTTTTTTTTACTGTTTTCAAAAAAACAGTTACTTGTTCATTAAGAAGTTATTGCAAAATTGAACTATGATTTGTGTGTGACTGATACATATAAAATATGAGAAAGAGAATAATAAAATATCATTTGATACAGATGAAAAGTAAAGATTTTATTCTTTTCTTTTTTTTTTGGTTTATGTAGCAATCGTATGAATAAATAACTCTTCTTTTGTATATATAATTATCATATTATATTTGTTGATATTTTCTTAATTCAAAAAAAGTAGTCGTTTTTTTTTGGCAACACTATACAATTTTAATCATTCCCAAAAGCGATTATTTTTCACTAATAGACTTCATTTTTGCCTCCAATTAATATGTAGCCGACGTGATCACACTTGACCTGTTGACTACTCCATATCTGATCATTCTATTTCGTGAAACAAATGATAACCAATGCATTTGTTTACGCATTATATATATATATTTCAATTAGAGCATTTTTTGAGGAAAATATCTCAGTTTCTATGATTATCTTACTTTTTAGATCTAATCTTTGAGAAGTCAATTAATTTGTCGTTGATAAATTCTTCATTTGACAATTAAAAGTATCTACAACAAATAAAAAGTTATATCTGATCGCGAAACAAGTTGATTTTTCTATTTAATTCGATTGAAAGAAAAAATCCTTTTGTGATCTCGTTCAAGAAAAATAGTCAATACAAATAATTATCTACAATATTTTTCTTGATCACAATGCGATTATCTGAGAACAATATCATTAATGAAAGTTAATAAGTACTTTTTCTTCTATTCCCATTGTTTTTTTTTCGGTTAGCAGATTTGATTCGATGACAAATTCATTTATCAATAGTTGGATTATTTCGATGAGTTTTTCGCAAAAATGAATATATTCTATGTAAATGACATCAATAAAAAATGAGAAGAGTTGACTTAAGAAACAATGAACAGCATTTGAAAAAGACAAGTTCAGTATGATCACAAAAATGAAGTTTAATTATCAGATTAATGGTAGCAATGAAAAAATTTCTCTCACTATTCATCACATCTGGCATTAATCGACTGATTAGCAAACGATCTTCAATTGAAATGATGAAATAACTTGTCATTATTCGGTCATTAAAATCGAATGGGCTTCTCTCTATTTGAGATGAGTCCTTATCTGTTACTCCTCAATAAGCTGAATATTTTGCTGAAGAAAATCATCTAGTGTAGAGGAATATTGAGATCTTCTTATTTCAAGTGCAAGAGAAACGAAGTTCGTCTAAGATTTGTTCACAATTGACTTGAATCTTTTGCAATTCGTTTGTCTATTATAGAAAAACTTTTTTGATTAAAATGAATACTTCGTTGGCAGGAGACATTCTTTTTTTAAAGTGATTATCTTTGAAATGAATGAACAATTCAATGAGATAAAAAAAGATAAATTAAACATTGTAATGATCATGTTGAAGAAGAAAATTTTTCTTTTTCTATGAACAATCAGCTCTTCTCATTCAATCATTCCATGAAAATACTCACTCTGAACATTTTCGAAAAAAACTCTTTCCCATCATCAATAACATGTGTTTGAATGAATAAAAAAACTTTTAATTGATCATTTACTTGGATTTTTTTCAAATATCTGACATTAATTTGAACAAATCAGAAACTCTTTCAATGAAAAACTATTCATAATTATCAATTATCTTTGTAAAGTTCGACTGATCAAATAGATAGGATCTAAACAAGAAAACAAACATCTTAGTATATTGATTCAAAGCGAGATCGTTGGAGAAATTTTCTTTAAACATGAGAGAAACATTTCGATGATTTTTGGTGAAGATTAAAAGAAAAAGTCAATATGTGAAAGATGCTCAAATAAAGAACATCTACCAATCGACAGAATAAAGGACTATCATCTCCAGCTATTTTTAGAAGATCTCATTGAATTGTTCAAATGAATAGATTCATATGATTAGGTTGCCCAGTCTTCTCTTCAGCATAAGAATTCTGATCAAAAGTAGATCAATACATTTAATCAACTTTTTATTCTAGACAACTTTCAATAGAAAGCTTTTTTCTTAAATATTCCTTTAGATTGTAAAAGATTTTCTTGTGTCTCACAAATTTTCATTATTCATTGCCTTTTACAAATGATAAAATCAATCGACAAAAAAAACACAGAAAAGTTTTCTTCTCTCATTTTGATGATAAAACAACGATTTTTCTCAAAATTGCTTTAACATATTATAAAATATTTTGTGCCATTCTTCAGACAAGAAGATTTTTATCGAAGTTTTATTCGATCGCTGATCAACTAGAAATTTACTAGGATAAATGATCATTTTCGAAAAGATCTAAACCAAAAGAACTATGATGAAGCAAGAGAATTGTTAGTATTTATACTAACATTTTCATTCCACATTTTTCATCCTTACCTAGATCATCTATCTAATGTTTGTTTGTTGCCTTCATCCGCACTTATCTAATATGCTAAATACGTAAGTAAAGTTAGCATCAGATTCAAGTATATATGGCTTTTTCATAGATCTTAGCAGTATTACAGCTGATAACCACTTGTGAGGTAAAGTAAAAGTCTACGAGATTATTCTGGATTGTAAAGAAGAGTAATCCTGCGAAATACTGCTCATATCTACGCAAAGCCACCCCATGTCATAGAGCTCGTCGATTGTTTTGGAAGAAACTAAATTATAATTTGGAAATCTTTTAAAGGTAAGAACGTTTTTCTCAATTAATCTTAGAAAATCTTTCTTTTAAATATATAAGAAGAGTCCTTTTTTCTTCTCATTTCATTTAGAAGATTTCTTCAAAAGATGATTAATTCTTTTTTAATTTACTCAATTTTTATCTATAATATTACTTTGATCAGCTATTTTGAGTAAGATTGTTGGCTAAGAAAGGAAGAATGCTTTTCAGTGAAAATTTTCAAGTAACATTAAACAATTGATGTCCTTCAATGAGATATTTTTCAATGACAAACTCACTTATTCAATTTTTTAAAAGAATTGAATGGAACAGAAAATACATCATGTGTTTTATCTTGATCGAATTGAAAAGAAACTCTTCTTTTACTTGAGCTTTATCATTGAAAAAGAAAAGAAGAAGATGATTGTGTAAGGAAGTGAAGTCTTTCTTTTTTTTTTTAGTTCTTATTGATAACGTATGTGTCAAATGAAAATGATTATATCTGTAGTTAATCACAAATTTAATTTCTTATCTTAGAAATACTTATAGAAATTAAAGTGACTCAGATGTTTAGAGATAGAAATGAGAAGAGAAAATCGTTTTTTCATAACTTTATCTATGACTTAGTCGAACAACTATTCGATGAATATCACATGAATATATCGAAAATGTCCCAGTTATTCGAAACAGGAAAAAAATCAATATTCGTTTAAAATATTTAATAAAGAAGAATATTGATCAAATCCTTTATGTAAAATAAAATTTTCAATGAAAATCTCGATTAATTTTCTATAATCTTCGGAAATTGATTTTAGTGAAATAGTTATTATTGATTAAAAAATGGGAATAAGAAAAAAAAAGAATCAATGTGATAATTTGTCTTTGTTGATGAGTCCCTCATCGTCGATTTATCTGATGAACCTTATTCCTTTTAGATGAGTCTCAATTTTTTTCAGATACTTATTTTTATCGTATTTATTAATTATAAGAGGAAATTCTCGTTTGGTCTTAATTCAATTAAGGATATTCTTCTTCATAATGAAGAACTCAGTTTAACTAAAACAATTAATAACATAAAAAGGATTCAAAATGATATTTCAAAGAAAATATCATAGAAAAATATCTCCTCTTCTTTCTTCATTCATATCTATTCAATATTTGATCATCTAGACAAACATCTTCCAAAACATTCAAAGATTTTATCTTTTCATCGATCAAAATTCCATTTTTATTTAAATCAGATTCAAAGTAAAGAAAGTCCTGAAGCTGAGAGAAACCTCGCTGCTATAGATCATCTCTATTTCTTATCAATAAAAAGCAACCCATGAATAAATACTGCGATGAAAAGCGAAGCAATCACGGTTAGACTTGCAAAGACTTAATTCAAACTGCAGTTTTCTGTGTTGTCACCACAGTTTTGATCGGTCTTTTTGAAACGCATAAATGATCTGACTTTTTCGGTTTTTACTCAA